ACCCAATCTATTCTATGATTCTATGATATAAACTTCTTGAAAATATTTCATGTGCGCAGGGAAAAGGAATCCTCAGATCATACCAGTCTAGATGTCTGAATAACAAACCTATGCAATATCAGTACTGTGACTTACCTGGACAAAAATACAGAATTTAAGATTTGCTCCTATCCTCCAATTCACTGATTCCATTACTGGACAAGATCTGCCACACTCTAGAGTTCTCTAAAATTCCTTTTTCATATTATTTGTGCGTTTTGAATGATCAATGCAAACATAACAATCAAAAATGTGTTCTCTCTTTCTCTCCAGTTGCTCTTTATTATTGCTGCCTAACATGCTATAATCACACAATTTTAAACTGTTTCTGAGCAGGGTGAAGATGCTTGCATTTTACATCCTTTGTTTTCAAGGCTAAATTTACAATAAAGGGAAGATGACAATTTCTGAAAAGGGCTTTTTGAAAGTATAGTAACCAAAATTAATGAAAGTAAATGAGATCAATCAAAGGAAAATTAGGAAGAATAACAAGCAATCAAAATTAAAGTGCTCTGCTCCATATTTCTGAGTAAGTATATGGAGATGAGGTAGGTAAATGCATTTAATTTTTTACCTGTATACAAGAGAAAGTTTTTCACCAGTCAAAATGTACTGATGGTGTTTCAAAAGTATTAATAATTAAATAAAATCAATAGCACAACATAACAAATAACATTTGTTCTGGATCTATTGAAATTAATGGAGATATATAATAAACTTGGATGAACCTGTCCTAAAATGTTACATTTTATTGAAAAAAGCTTAAAAGTCACCTACCTTGTAATTTTGCTTCAATTCCAGTTTTATCCAATCCAGATGAAAAACCTTAATGGAAAGACAAAAGGCTTTTTAACCTAATACAATTATATACTTCCTCCTCAATATCATTACCAATCAGAACTGATTTGCTGATTTTTGGGAGCCAAACACCTCAAAGTGAAAAATCTGTAAATATTTATTATACTGGGAATAAGTCAAAAGCCTTATACAGTGGCTGTTAGAAGGGATGTGCAAAGGTAAAAGTTGCAGATATTCCCCTATGTAAAATATCAGAGTTGTAAAAGTTGCAGAAGTGTCAGTGAGCAATTTCACATGTAGAGTTTTCCTATTTTAGAATACAGAAAGCTACCTAAATTGCCACCTCCATTCAAGTACTAGATGTACTATGGTCCCCTCCCATCCCTAAAAATAATTGTCTCCAGCAAGTGCCCAATGACTTCATTATCATGTGTAGAGCAAGTGGCCAGGAACAGAGACATGGTCAGGGCTGGGGACCAAGAGGTTGCTCTGGACAAGGCAAATTGAAGACACTAGCATTAAGATTATTAAAATTTTGTTTAGCAAAACTAAAAAATGTTAGACAATTTTTTTTTTTATTACCAGCAGATTACATATTCTGTGCTGAAAAGTACATTATGGGTTGATACTGCATTAATACATGGTCAAGTGTCTTAAGATCAAAAGAAATAGATCATTATGAAGCTGTAAATGGTTTCTTCATAGCTCTTAAATGTTACACCATGCTGAAACTCCTACTACTTACGTCAAAGCAACTGAAACTGTTGTTCCTAAAAATGTTACAGACCATATTACACACCTTGTTTTCAACCCCTTATGAAAGAAAATGAAGGGAACAAATAATAGGGGTCTAACACATCCTAGTATCATAATTTAGATTAATAAAAAAAACCCCAAACCAACAACAAACCATAATGAGTTGGATTTTTTAAGGCTCTAATGTACAAGAACGTTGATCGTATCCATTCCAAAGCTACAGTGACATCTGTGACAGTATGTAGCACTATTTCTGCATTTAAGTGCTCAACAAGATGCCTGTGCAAGCTAGGGAAAAAAAAAAAGAAAAAAGACAAAGGTAAGTACATTTACCAACTAGTAGTACAAAAAGTGCTAAAACTATTCTTTGGGAAAAAAAAACAAACAACAAACCAAACCCCTCCCCCAAAACCACAACAATTTTCTAGTTCTTTTTTTACTGTTAACTGTTCACTTCAATCAGTGAAATCAACAGAAAACAGTAAAGAATATGTAAATAATCAACAATGTAATTTATTATGGCTTCATGTCCAGCAAGCTAAAATAGAAAAAACTTCTCAACTGTGAAGTTTCACAATTACTTAGAAAACAAAGCTACGTACATTTAAAAGTTACAGCACAGTGCTGATATTTTGAATATATTTGAAAAATTAAACCTTAACAAAATTACATGAGCAAAATTTCCTGGTTTACCCTTTAATATCTTAACTTTCATACATATTTCTCCCGATATTCTGTTCACATCAAGTGAATTCTGTAAGAATGGTATTTTTCAAAAGATATCTAAAAATTCAGACACATGATCTGGGTTCAATTCTTACTTTTTCTCTCTGCAATATGTACTGTTTCAGTTTCTTCAGTTTTCCAGCAGGAAAAAAGGAATCTACAACTACTGGGTTTTTTTTTTTAAGTTTAACATGTTCTAAAGATGTTTTTAGCTGATAAAACAGAGGCTATTAACTGCTGAATAGGTTTGGTTTATTTTTCTTAAGCACATAAGTTTATTCTAAATAGAACAAAAAAACACCCCAAAACCTCCCTGAAAAAACACATTCTGTAGAAACTATGAAACACTGCTACCATCTATATAGTCTTATAAAAAATACTTAGTTACCTGCTCTCAATTACATCAGCACCATTTAACATCTGTATGTACTTCTCCTTTGTACTCCAACGAGTCATAATAACTGCTGTAGCTGTAGTGTCAAACTGAAAAATAGACCCACAAATAACAACTACTCTCTAGCTCTTAGCAAAACATTTTCAGCTGAATACGCATCACATATCTGTTGAAACCATTAAAACTGTTTTCTTAAATTCCTTGTTGAAATGACTGTTGAATGCCAAGGTCTCTTTAACTTAAAGGCAAGTTCTAACTCACATGGGTTGCAAGCAGGACTCAGGACTCCAGCCATTGCTGGCAGGAAGGTCAGTGCACCAGTCTTTATGTGCTAATGTATGTAATCAGAACGGTTTGGGTTGGAAGGGACCTTAAAGATCACCTAGTTCCAACCCCCCTGCCATCAGCAGGGACACCTTCCACTAGACCAGGTTGCTCAAAGCCTCATCCAACCTGGCGAGAACACTTCCAGGGAGGAGCATCCACAGCTTCTCTGGGCAACCTGTTCCAGTGTCTGACCACCCTCACAGTGAAGAATATGTCGAGAAACAACACAAATGTGAACTGCTATTGACCTCCTTACAAGGTCCACAGCTAAGGAAAGGACTCCTAACCACAACCACAGAAAATAATTTACTGACCCAAATGCTCATTAGTAATCCCCAAACATCAGAAGTCTTGAATGAACAGTCAAGCCTTTTATAGTAATTTTTTATAATCTTCATCATCTACTCTCAAGCCACCTTACTTAGATTATTTTGTTTTGTAATGGAAAAAAATACTGTTAGACCAATGTATTGGTTTTTGTATGAGAAGTTTCCTGACTTTTTCATTTTTTAGATCAGATCAGTGTATGTAATACCTAAAGGCAGATCTTGGAAAATATTTCATGTCTTGACTCAGTAAATTGAAGTGGTTTAGGATTCTGAGTCACAACTTTAAAAATCTTATTGAATTACAATCTCTAGCAATCACTTAAGAAAGTTAGGAATATCAGAATTTCCATACTAGGTTAGATCTTAGGTCCAGATAAAATACTGTTAAGTACACAACATACCACAGTGGCTAGTTAAGCAGTCTCTGAACAGGTGGGGGGTAATCTATCTCCCATATTAGGCTTTATCTGTATTTCTAAAAACCAAAAGACTGAAAAGTGTAAGATTTAACATAAATGAGACTTTAAAGAGGTATAATTTAAATAACCATTTTTTAATTGTCCTCTCCATTCCTTTTGACAACCAAAGCAATGTCTAAACCCTTTCTAAGACATAGCACTGGCATCAGCAACCTCTTGTGGAAGCAAAATGAATTATAGCTTTTGAAGGCAGTGTTTATGACCCTCCACTTCTAATTTAATCAGATGTTTTCCTGTTCTGATCTTAGGAAAAAAAAAGCACATTGTTCTTTATACTAGTCAATATTCCAAAATTTTTATCATGCAATTTACAAGTTATGTGCCAGCTTCCTACTTTTTCTCTAATCCCCATTCATTATGTAACTCAAATGTAATCCACAGCAAGACAATGCAGTGCTTTTTAGTGGACAGCTCAAAAGCAAACAGATTTCTCAATTAAGAAGTTACCTGGGAGTAATTTAAATATTAATAACAACACTTTAAAAACCAAATACTGCAGTAAAATTGTTGGCATCTTAGTGTCTTTGCCAATAATAGTTTTTACTGATTCGCCTACAGACAGCATCAATATAATACAGGCTGCAGTAAAATTGTTCGCATCTTAGTGTCTTTGCCAATAATAGTTTTCACTGATTCATTCGCCTACAGACAGCATCAATATAATACAGCATTAACTTACTTGAGGCCTTCCTGCTCTCCCAATCATTTGCAGAATATCAGTTTCACTGTACTCTTGGAACATTCCTCCAACATAGTGCATTGTGGATTTTATAACCACCAGATGTGCAGGTAGATTGACTCCCATAGCTAAGGTGCTAGTAGTAACTACATCAAATTAGAGTATATTGATTGCAAGATGAACATCAATTAAATTAAACAAGCAGCAAATAAGTGACGAACTCTCAATTCCTAAGAGCTCTTATCTCTAGTGAAGTCAGTGGGTGTTCTGCACCACAAAGAATTAGACGTAGATTAGAGATGTGTATTTGTATAACAATTTCACCAGCATTCATTTCTTATCAAGTATTCTTCAACAAATTACATCCCAGATATTTTTATTTAAACATTCCTTAATATTTGGAGATAATCTAGAATCCAATCTATCTTCAATATAACACACATACACTGAAGAAACATTATTCATTGACAGATATTTGAATACAGCCATGACTTCATCTCGCTTTGTTGTGATCAATATCTTTAAGATATGTATTTTTTTAAGTCATCAGTCATTAGCATTGTTTGTATCTATGGTACCAAACCAGAACCACCACCAATACTATCACGATACTTTACCAATACATACACTCACATGGAAAACACCCATCAAGTTTGTGGAAAATTCTCTCACACTCAGTTTTCTAATTCACTTTCTCTAATAAATATATGGGGTGCCAGGAACTGAACATGGACAGCCATCCATACAGGCTCACTGATACAACTATTCAACTAGGCAAACAAAGTACTAATGAATTTTCCAATTCTTTTTTTAAATGAAAGGAGAACTAAAATGAGTAACTATAGGTGCATCAGGAAAGAAGAATTCAATCTAAACTAGAGGCGTAACCCCATCATCTTGAGAGAATATTACTGTTTTTCATATTGTAATGGTAGACAAAATGGGATATTTGTCAAAACAAAATGATCTGACCATAAAAAAAGTTGCAAAGAAAGGTCACTTACCAGTGCAATCAGGGCTCCAGTCCATGCATGTGTGCGTATATATACGTATACACAAGCACTGTGAGTATATGTACACTCTATTTCAAGACCAAAGAATTTTTCCCCTTTGCAATATCTACCAAAGGTGTGTTAAAACCTCTCCTCACCACACTCACAGACATATAAAGTGGAATATGCACCATACTCTTTCAGCTGTAGAAATGTAATTCTAGTATCTCAGATGATTCTGACATACTCATACAAACTATAAGATTCGAAGGACTTAAGTACCAATAAGCAACTTTGTTATTCTTTCAGTGGTAGCCTGTATGTATGTTCTCATACGCACATTCCCATTGTGTCCAGTTGTGGCACAAGGCTTCAGAGTTATTTTTGCAAAGAGTAATTGTAGAACTACAGCCTCCTGAAAATTCAGAAATGGCACAGCAGTTGGTAAAGCCACACACAGTGCACCAGGCAGCCAAAGTACAGTAGATTGCAGGGTTGCAGAGACTCAATACCATGGACACTGCAACTCTAGCAAGGTTGCCAGATCACAGTAAGGGTATCTACCTTAAATTTTTATGAGTCACAACCATTGCACAGGAAAGAAAAAAAAATAAAATCCATGAATTATTCAGTGTTGTACATGAACCACTCAGGCAATTGCCCACAGGGTCCGAATCTTTTTTGCAGAAAAAGAAAGCCTAGAAGAGATGAGACCATCACATCTCAAATAGATACCTTCTCATTTCAGGTATCAGCAGATAGAACGTTTCTTAGGAACCTCCCCATCATTCAAAGCACCTTGCATGCAAGTTTGAAAACACTGTCCTGCTCATCTAAGAAGCATGAATGTGAAGGATTACCTTCAGAGAAGCCACTGCTGCAAAGGACACAAACAAAGAAAACACCATGTGAACTCTGAGGAAAGACACACTAGCAGAGTTCCACCTCAACAGGATGGCTCAATGGTATGAAAAGGAAATGGACGTGGTCAGACCTATGTAGACATATGAGGGAGGATGACCTCCATGTATGCTGAAAAGAAGTTCTATGGTCTTCAGTAACAGTGTGTATGTATACTCACAAAGTAAAAGTGCCTGTGAAACACAAACACATATTTATCTGGATTTCACAAAGTAATTCCAAAGGTTAAACAAACTATAGAATCATAAAATATTACCACTTTCAAAGTGCAGTCTTCTCAAGATACATTAACAACCTTTTTTATTTTCAAAGTTAAGTTTACTTACAAAGCACTGGTAAGTCTCCTACAGTAAAAGCTCCTTCAATTATTTTTCTGTCAGCTACCTCCATACCCGCATGATGATAAGCCACACCATACATTAAAAGATCTGGTAATGAAATAATTATATCCATCACTTGACTAAGTTTACTCAAGCAAGTATTCATTCACAGAACAGAGAAGTAGTAGGTTATATTTACCTCTCAGTTTGGCATCTTTTAATGAATTTGCAGACTTCTGTAACCTATGCAAAACACACAAAAAACCCCTGAATACTTCAAAATCATGAAACAGATTAACTAATGTAAGTAGAATATACAAAGATGCAAGTATGTTTTTAAAATGTAAAAATAAAGCTTCAAGTGAAACTAGATAGACAATTGCCACACTAAAGATATATTCCTTGACACGTACATTTTTTACATACTTTCCCATAGTTCTACTGCATTTGTGCTTTTTAAGGATGTTCTTAGTTTTCAACTACAAATTAGACTATCAAAAAGACACAGTCTTAAAATAACTTTTTAAATATACGTTCTTTGGATATTTTCAATCACCACCTTTCTCATCTTTGTAAAGGGAACAAGCTGACACTCTGGGGCAGCTGTTGCAGCCTTTCCAGCCCAGTCATCTTGCCAAGTCATAACCTACAATCTAGATGTGTTGCTCACATAAGGCAAAGATGGCCACATGTGAGGTCCAAAAATTAGGAAGCAGCTTCTGCAGCTGCCTTGATTAGGCAAACCTGGAGTAAATAATAATGAACAGGGGTCAGGGCTGTATTTTTAAAGGTATCTGATAATGCAAAGACTTCATATGGCTTAACTTAAAACACTAGTAAGATCACATCCAATTCAACTATTCATATGTTTAATCTTATAGGTCCTAGGAATTAACATTTGTATGTTTAGAAAGCAGCTTTTAGAGACAACTTAATGTTTGTGAAAAGTACCCTAAAAATATGAGAAGCAAATAAAACTTCCCAAGGAGAGTGCCAGTTTAGCAGAAGAATGACAACTGTGATGATGATTTTGTTGCAGACACTAGTCTGCTAGAAACTGTATTAGCTCAACAGCTTTCTTCACAGATGTCACAGGTTTACTAAAACACACAAACACTTATTAACAACTCAAATATAAAAATACCTTTGTTTCTGTTCTATACTCAGTAGAAATTTAGCATCCTTTGCAAGAATAGAAGCAGCCTGCTGTACTCCTTTTCTTGTGGCACAAAACTATAAATGAGAAAATATTTTTTTTAAATCAACACTTTTAAGAAAGAAATAATTTCAAATGTGGTAAAAAAAAAGCTGTTGTACCACAAGTGCTGGTTTTTGTTCCGAGTATGTTTGTATAATACTAGCTATCTTGTAGTTAAGGGTCAAGTCAAATTTGAATTCTGTCTGACTGTCGCTGCAAGGAAAACCAAGAACAATTTTGCGTAGCTTCACTGGTCGTTGATCCTCGTCTATTTTCAGACATACTGCAGACATTTTACTATCTGAAAGCCATTCTGCAATCTTTAAAAAAAAAAAGAAATAGAATGGAAATGGTAAATTTCTGCTTTTGATCATGCTCTGCTCTAACTGCATCACACAATAATCAACTTAGCTTTTGTCACATGTAAACTATTAAAATCACAGATGAAGTTCTGCTTTCTATAGGACCAATACACTTCAGGTTGAAATCTCAAGTCTGTTGTGATTTGTACTTAGAGACAAAAATCACAAACAGAAATCTAACACTGAAGCATGTTCATACGTGGCTGATAGTTCCATATAGTTGTAGGTCATTTCTTACATTAACATCAACCTCACAACTATCTTCAGCTGACAGCTTCAAAATCACAACTTTGTTATCAATCTGAATTTATAACTCCAGGTAAATTTATAAAATACAACTACATTAATTAAAATACAGTTAAAACATAATTCTTACATCTTCAGCATTTGGAATTGTTGCAGAAACAGCTACAAATCTCAAGGGAGGAACAGTGTCATGATTCTCTAAATGCCGCCAAAGAGAAGACTGAACAGTCTTCATCCGACTAACTACAACTTCTAACGTTGCACCACGGCTTTCATCCTTTATAACATGCACCTATTAGGAATTTGAAAAGATTTGCTAAATATTTCTCCAGTTACAATCTATACATGTGTTAAATAAGAGTTACATTTCCTAAGTTTCCTTTTATCTTCAAGAACAAAACCAGTGCATCTAAAACATTAATTTTCTTACCTCGTCAATGAGAAACAGTCGTACAAGCTGGACTACAGAGTTGTCTCTCCACCTCCTAGTCATGCTATCCCATTTTTCCTAGAAGAAAAAAACCCAATGCAACAACAACAGAAGGTGAAAGATGTTTTAAAGGCCAACATATGCCAGAAGTGAAGTACACGCAGACGTGCCTAAACTTCAATAAATCTTTAAATAAAATCAGTTAAATGAATTCAAGCTAAAGCCATGTATGTTTCACCTGGCACATTATTATATTACCAACTGTTGTTTATATGAATTATATGTATGCACAGCAGTGTGCAAGAAACCATAAGGACCATAAAATTACTAGTTATTACAAAAAAAAAAAAAAAGCATTCCTAGTATCATACAATTAGTAGACTAGTAACATCTGCTTATTCTAAGTTTTGGTAAGCACTGGGATTGAAACCTACAGGTGTAGTGATAATAATGTGTGCGTGATGTATTTCAAATAAATCATCCATCACTGTATCTCCTGTCAGTTCCTTGCAGCTGAGTCCTATAGGTCCAAATTTTTCTTTCCAATCATCAAAACGCTGACTGCATAGAGCTTTTATTGGAGCCACTAAAAATAACAAAGTAATCAGAGTTATATCAGGAAAAAACAAGTCTTCAACTGCTAAATGCATTTTTAAGATGCTGCCTTGAACTTAATTTCCCTAATTTTCAGCTTTGCTCTCAGAACCATAAAATTTGTAACTGGTATTATTATCCTTATTATCCTACTCCATGTGCACAGATAAACACTGCGCTTTGGGCCCCAGTTCTTCCCTATCAGCAATCAGAAACAGAACCTTTTAAAGCTATTTATCCCTGTCTTAATCTTGACATTTTTCCTCAACCCCACATGGAAACAATCATTCAGGTCTCAAAGAATTTCTCTCAGATGGAAGAAATCACAGGAAATACATCTTTTCTAATGAAAGATTATACAAATACCAGCCTTTTTCCAGTTCAGAATTATTTGAGCACACTGTATTCTGAGAGAAAAGGTGTTATAAATGCGAACCATTCATGAGCAAGAGACAGAATACCAGAAGAAATAAAAATCTCTGTAAATGAAACGTACAATTAAGTGTAGTCAGGGTCATACTGAGCAGCTAACACAGCATGTATCAGCTGACACGGCAGGCTGCAGTTCTGATGCTGCTTCTCACGAACAGACTCCTAAAACAATCTTTTTCTTCATATTTTTTTTCCCCTGAACATACATGCTATACAGATGGAGGCTGGTTTCTAGAATCAGAAGTAATTCTGTACAAGGACTGATACTAGCAATACATGCAAGTCTATATTGGATGAGTAACCTACATGGAAAATGCAGTGATTTAAGTGAAAGAAGACGTGACCTACACATGATCCAAGAACAGCAGTTATAAAACAGACCTTGCAGTGATTACATTCTTGGCTAGTTAGAGACACTGGAATATGAACCATTTCTGCGTGTCAGCTGACAAGTGATCCCTAAGATGAAGAGATTTAAAGAACCACGTTCAGCTTCAGAAAGAAGTGTAAAATCTCATTAGTGTACCAATGGCCTATAAAGCAGGGGAAATTGGAGCTCCAGAACATGGATTACGCTACCAGAAAGTAACTCATAAAATTGTAAAAAGTAATAATCTTCTGCCATGCAAGAAGCTAGTGATTGCTCTTGGAACTTCAGTCACCAATCCTTAGCATGTGCTAAAGCTACCAGGAAACAACTCTAATTTACACAACTACAGCAAGCTAATTGAGATACATTGGGCCACTGATGAACCATGCACCAGAGCATGCTCCAGCAGCACATAATCTGATTAAAACCTCTGTTCCAGCATTCAAAAAACTAACATCTCCTTCTCCAACACTGTTGAATCTGGAAAGGTCAGCAAATCTAATTCCACCAGCAGATAACTACTTCCTTACTGAAAGTTCCAATCAGCCAACTTGTATCAATTCTACCAAGGCAATAAAAAACGTTACAGTGCACTGAAATGCTCCGCCTCAACCCACTGACAGAGAAACTATAATATATGCCTGTTGATAAAAAGATCAGTTTACAATACACAGTAAACTGTTATAAGAATCTGAACACATTGGAATTTTTCTTAAAGAATAATAATTAGGCTGAAACTTTTGTAAATATAAAGATTAACCATTTTCATGCTGAACACTACAATTACACAGTGCTGTTAAATACTAATAATAGTTACAATGGTATCACAAATAAACAAACCCTAAAAGAAACAGCTTTTTAAAGAATGAGGTAGGTTATGTCACAATTACTTAACATAAATTTAACTGCAATATTATTAAAGCATTCACTCCAGATCTCCACATTTACAGAATGACATTTTCTACTGCTGTCACCAAAATGTTTAAAGCTGCATAATACTTACTGTAAACAACTTTAATATTTAACCAAGGCAGTGGGGCTTCCATGAGTAATCTGGTAATAGCTAGCTCAAACATTACAGTTTTTCCAGAACCAGTCGGAGCAGAAATCACGAAATTCCTATCTGTATAAAGAAGCTAGGAAAGAATTGCAAAGTAGTAAATATAACACAGCTACCCATTGTACCTATTCCTACATTCCAAAAGCATTCTCTAGGGGAAAATGACACAAGGAAATTATTATTACACTGATATATGTAGTCCTCTAAAAAATTTTGTATTACACAGGAACTTTAAGTTACAGTAAAAGAAAGAACATCACCTGCTACATATCTGCCACAGAAACATAAATGAGACACTGTTCATCTAAGGCTACTATGTAATGAAGTCTACCATTCTGCAACAAACAAAAAACCAGTATCTAGCCTTAGACGACATTTGTACAGAATCACTCCCACTGTCCAATTGCAACCAAACACAGGCTCATCAGAAAGAGGTATTTTATGCTCAAATTCAAAGCACAATGTTTTTGGTTTTGTTATGTAATTCAATCTGTATTCAAAATTCCAACACTGTTGAATATATATAATTTTAATAGAATGTTAAGTTTTCAATAATGACAAAAGTAGGTTTTGTATGATTATGCTTCTTTCCTCCACCATCTTAGAAGCCTGGTTATGTCTATGTCAGGTTCCCTCATTTTCCTCTGACCAGGTTGACTCTACCCTCCTCCATCTCCGCAGTGTCACTCACAACCCTCCCTCCATGCAGCATGCTCTGTGTAGCTTCGTTTCCTTCTTTCCCTCCCAACTCCTCACGGATTCTACTATTCTCATTCTTTTCCCCCTTCCTTCTTGCTGTTAATGCTCTAAAACTATTCTGTAACTGTTAGGAGCTCACAGGGATGAACGGGAATCACCTAGTACTTGATATATAAATAACTGTAGCAAGGACTGACAGAGTACTGCTGAACAGTTGCAGGAATGACCTGTGTTCCTCATCTACCATCCTCACTTTTCCAATGCTCACAAAAAATCAATAAAGTATGAATGCTGTATGAATACAAAAATTTCCCTGATTTTTGTTAAAGAATCCTTTGTAACATTCACTGTCAATCAATCGGAGAAATTCTACCAAGTTGAATGCTTACAACTCATTTCTTGGAACCAGAGAGTTACTGCCAAGTTGAACTTTGCAAGCTCAAAAAACAAAACAAAACAAACAACAAAAATCCCATACAAGACTGTTATCTTTTTAATATGCTGATTTATCTTAATTTTTCAACATGTCACGTCTTATATGACTGATAAGTAAACCTTGTCCTTCCTAGTACCTTACAAACAAATTTATATTTTAGAGTACCAATACATGAGCCATTCAAAAAACTTTTCTTTTTTCTAAAAACTATTGCTCTGATAACCATTTTTGCAATTTTCATAGAAGTAAATCTTGCTCACAGCTGTGGTTTTCCATTATTTTAGGAACAAAGAGTCACACAAGATTATTTTACAGGCCAATATGATGTATAACTCTCATCAGAAATAAACACAAATTTGGAAGTAAAGAAAAATACCACAAATCCATGCATAAACCTAAAAATGTAAGGAAAAAAGCAAAAACACAGCTCCCTATATAATTTAAATGCAAGATTATTCTGCTCATATAAGCACCATTCTTAAAATAATCTCTTTATAAAACATTACTTAGTGGATAAGAAATTTAAACAAAAACATTTGCAACATCAAAAGTAGCTTAAAAAACATGCATAGAAATGTCTGTGAATGACACTGGCATTTCCCCTAGAGTTGAATAAAAAATTCAGATGCTCTGCTGAAGACTCTGATGGAACCTGTATCTCCTCACTGCAATACCTACAATACAACCTTTCTCAAAATGGTTGCTTTCAAGATAAGTTTTGGGTGTTAAAGAAAGAGCATAGCAGATAAAAAGGGCATGGACAAACATCACTTCTCCAAAAGCACAACCTTCTCTAAATCTTTTCTTAATCTTCCTGTGAAAATAATCTAAAAATATTACTAATCTGTATGCATAAATATACATATAATTCACATCTTTACACAAATTTATTTAAAACTGAGAAAAGTTCTTCTGGTCACTTCTCCCAGCTAAGCACAACCCTGCTCAACTATTCCAGGAAGAGATTCCAGATATACTACGGTTTTCCAACCCTTTTTAACTTCTGAATATCAAAGTATCATTTAAATTTATCTACTAAGTACTACTTCCAACTGCAGTTAATGTTTCATACTTACATCATCCAAAGCTTTAGACTGTGCATAGTTAAAATATGGGAACTCCTTAAAAATACTTCTAAATTGGGTCGCTTGACAGCATTAAGGAATTGAAAACAATCGAGTGAAAAATTATAAAATGGATTTTAGAACTGTGAATGCATCTCTTTCTTGAAATTTAAATGCAAACTTAAAACATATTCAACAATCTTTCACTGACACAGGCTTCTAGAAAATCATCAAAAAGTAACCTATTAAATGATTTAGCAGTTTTATTTAGATTCTTGGTGTGGCATATATTCCACTTCACCAAAAACACACTTCCTATTGAGAGGCCTCAGGATTACACCAGCAATCAAGAACCTCCTCCTTGGCATAGGCTTCATGGAATGGCATACAATTATGGAATATGAAACTGCAAAGGACAAAAGCTTTATTCTCTACTGCAAACCAGATACAAGAGCAAGCAGAGCACTGCTGTTAGTGTATCTGAAGTGTCAATGGCTACATTATATTTGTAATATAACACAAATTAATTAGCATAATATTATATGCCCAGTCATAAGAGTAGCAAAGAAATTCACCTACAATCTCTTTCTGTTGACAGTGGTTTTAAAGATATTTTCAATTGCTAATATTGTGTATTCTTCAGACAACAACATTCTTATCTAAAATATGAGTAAGAGGAAGGACAGTATTGTTACATTACAAATCCAAATGAGTGAATTGATCCTTGTCTGGTCCTGCATTGAAGCCACACAGGCAGACTAATTGTAACCATCTGATCAGGCTGAGGATGCAAGCACAGTCAGACATAACACCAAAAGTAACAAGAACAGTGAACTGCTGAGGCCTCAGATTGATGTAACATTAAAAGACTAAATAAAAAAGAAAAGAAGTAAAACAAGAAATAAAAGTAGTTAAATACAAACATTTAAAAATGGGTGAAAATAGGCTTTTTTTTTAAAAGGGACTTCTCTAAAATTCCCTAAGTGATCTATTTTCAAAATACAGAACATTAACTATCTGTAATTGGCAACATTAGAACAACTGAGAACTGAGTCCTTACTAATTTTTGAAATTATGACACTTCTTAAAGCTATTAATATGAATTTAAGTTACCTAAATTTAGACATTTCCTCTTCCTGATATTTAACCTACCATTTGACAGGTTACTAGAAACAAAATATTGAAGAGACAGTGAAAAAATAAGCAAAAAAAAAAGAAAAAGTTTGACAGATATAGACAGATGGTTAATTATGTTATGGGTTCAAGGCACAGCTAAGAAAAATTAAAACTACTGTAAAATCTGCTTGAAGAATGGAAATATACTGTATGCACACTACAACATAAATACAGACCTATAAGGAATACATGAAGTTTATTTCCTCCTGAAAAAATAGGATAAAAAGTAAGAACCAGTTTTCCTAATCAGCCTAAATAATAAGTCGCTTTTCCTTTATTTAAAGTGTATGGGGGTATATGTGTATATGTGTCTTTGCATATAAAATCTGGCCTGACATATATTATGCAAACTAAAAAATTTTAAAATATTTTTATTTTAAAAGTAAATAGTTTTGAGGATAAAATTTGAATAAATGAAATAAGAATAAATTTGCTTGGCAATGAATGATCAATAAGTTGTCCTATTTTCATTCTAGCTTCGAAAGTCCAAAGGGTAAACAGCTATTCATAACTTGATTCCCAACATTAAGTTACACATCAAAACTATTACAGTATAATGCATGAGTTCCTATGGCTACAAATTAAACACTATAATTTTGTAAATGTAAAAGCATTGTAATAAAATCAGTAAATCAGATACAGCAAATACAAGGATACGTATTTCTGTAACAGCCCTCAAAATTTCCAATTTTCTTCCTGTAGCTCCTAAAGAAATAAAAGTAGTAAAATTATAAAACCAGATTTCTTTTCAACTAATAAACATGAAAAATATTTTCCTGACCCCAAGATGTGTGTTCTGTGAGGAGCTGCGAGGCTATAAGAAGGTCCACATTATATAGCAGGAGCTGACAGGATAGGACAGGAAGGTCGTAAGTGCATCATTTGAAAGGACCATCTTGGTGGCCCTTTGCTGAACACACTCCAGTTTAAGGATATTTTGTCTATACCAGAGGCTCAAAACTTGATGCAGTATCTAGTCATAGTCTCAAAAGTGCCAAGAAGGGGACAGTCACCTCCCTCAACTTCCTGGCTTTGTTCCTGTTACCAAAGCCCAGGATGCTGTCAGCCTTTGTTACTGCTGGGCCACGCAGTTCGCTCACGTTCAGCGTGCAGTTTGCCAGACCCCAGGCACTGTTCTGCAGAGCTGCCCCCAGCCAGTCCATCCCAAGGGAACCCCAGGGGTTCTTCTCCTTCCCTTGGGCAGGACTTTGCATTTGCCCGTGCTGAATCCCATGAGATCCCTGGCAGCCCCCTTGTCCAGGACAGACCCTTGCTGTTCTCCACTTGCAGCAGGCAGGTGGGCAGAGTGTGACCCATTAACCGCCACTCTCTGAGCCTGACCATCCAGACATTTTTTACCCATGCAGTTGTCCATCCATTCCCAATGTGCTAACTTGGACAGAAGAATGTTGTGGAAGACAGTGCTTCTCAACCATTCTATGATTCTACAAAAAGCCTTGCTGAAGTCAAAGTAAACGACATCCCCTCATCCACAAATCAAGTCACTGCTGCTCAGAAGGCAATCAGAACCCCACTCCTGACCAGCCTCCAAATCCCATCTTAAGCCACAGCCCTGCCCTACAATCTTCTGCTAGAACTGTTTTTCTGTTCCTTATTTCTGTAGCAGTTAGCCATGTACCTTCCAGAGATGCAATGAGTCCCTGACCCAAAAAGCTTAAAATCTAGAAATAAACCACGTGTATTTAAAAACTATTAAAAACCAAGGCATAATTTCTCAAGCAAGTATTTTATAATTTCATCAAAATTCTTACCACTTTCCTCTATTTTCCAGATTTTTTTCCTACTTAAAATCTATTTTGACAAAGAATGAGTCATATCATAAATAAACATTCCATTTTCAATTTCTGGTTTCAAATGAAGATGAGACTATTTACCACATGAAGGGACGAGGCTGCCCTTTTGCAAATTGTTTAGGGGACTGATTTGAAGTGACATTTCCAAAAAGGTTTACGGGACTTGGCACTTTTGAAAATGTGACTCCTCTTCATAAATTATTTACTCATCTCATATTAAGCAACAATGCAATTAAGTTCCATATAATTGCAATATCTTATACCAAATTTAGCCAATTATCTCACCTTGAGCTGCTGGTGGGATGATGTTCTTCACTCTACCTCAGATCATCGATATCTGTTATTACTATACACCAAAGACAGATAGCGGACTATTTTTCTTGAAATAGAGTAGCAATAATTACCTGTCATATCCAGAATCTCTGAAGCATTAGAAAATGATTTAATTTTCATTCCATTTTTAGATGCAATGTCCTCATCATTTAATCTATGCAGAGTAAAATCTGAGCCTTTAGTTACTGGAGCATGATGATTATTTCTCCATAAACCTTCTTTTCCCACTTCTTTCATGTTTTCACTTGTATTTAAGTAAGTATCCATTTCTTTCACATACATAGAACTATCTTTAAATTCTGTATTTTTATACATATAACCAGACATTTTAAATAAGCTGCAAGAGAACCAGGGCTTTTCATTAGTTTGTTGTAATGTCACACAGTTTCTCTAATAATAGAAAAATATGTATGTTTGTATTAGAAGCAAAACTAGTAAGATACAATCATAAGAAAAGTTTGTATCTAATTTTATTTGATCTGACACTCTTCTACCTGAAGAAGACTCCTTTCAAGGTACATTTTAACTTTACTTTCATTCCAGAAAGAACCTGGAAGAATAAACTGCCTGTCCAGATGGGCTCTGAGTCCCAATAACAGATTAACTGTCGATCTCTACATTATTAAAAACAACAGAGACATACAGGTTCTCACGAATGAGAAGAGTTAGGTACAGAAGAGGATTTTATCTGTAAAACCTCTCCTCCCACCCAGCACTGACATAATGTTGAGAACTGCTCAAGGTATTCCTGGCTGGGTCACCTCATCTCTGAAAAGCAAGTGATCTTAACTTTTTTGCTTATTATTGTGTGGATAAAGAACTCAAAATTGTATTTTCGAAAACTTTTGTTATCTATTTCTTTAAAATTAAATAAACAAACCTTACTTTTCTTATAAAGAACCTGAGCTCAGGACACATTTAATTACAGTACTAAAATACTGCAAAACAAAGCATCTTTTTTCCTTATACTGAAAAGAATTAGTATTTGGAGCTCTATTAAAGTACCTGCAGTTGAATGATCCTAAACTCTGCATTTAACAACTGTAACTAAAACCATAATATGATTCTGACAGTTGATAAATTATCAGAATTGACCAGACACATACCTTTTTCTTAATGCTGAATGAACACCCTCATCATCACTGTTTTCTGGAAAAGTACTTAATATTTTATTTTGACAAAAATTTGCACCAAGTTGCTGAGAAATCCTTGTTCCAGTTTTAGATTTATCTTGATCAGAAGAGAGAAACAATGAAACTATTTTCAGACTTCTACGCTGAAAACTAATCTCTCTTTCTCCTACACTTAATGGGAGAACTTTTTTCAGAAGCTATGCCAAAATGAACACGTGCTGATGATTTACCATTTACTTCCTCAGTGCTACTCTTACATTGTTGTATAAACTTTCTCCCTCCTACAAAACCAATAAAGTATTATTTCTATTAATGTTTCTGTTCCTATTCATAGTAATTGTATTAAATATCTTCCATAGAATAAGCCAAATTCACATATATGAACTGGTATTTCTACTTTATTGCAAGAACTTTAGTGTATATTTTATGACTCATGCTGATTAATGCAATGACTCTGCTGTCAATTAAAAAGTTAGAAAAATAGAGTCACTTTCTATGCTTCCTATATAAAGTAACAGAGTAAAACTATTCTTCAGAACTAGAGTAGTTTGTAAGATAAAAACAAAAACTCTTCACCCTGTCCCAGAATAAAGACGGTATTTTTAAAAAAATTACACAATGATCAAGCTTGAAGATCCTACTACAAATAGCTGTGAGATAAACCCTGCAATCTCAGCAGTCAAAATTCATAATGAAGTCAGTGACAGGCTGGTGTCATAGTCATCTTGGTTAATTATTGCATTTTGCAGGGTTAGTTCTCAGTAGGTTTGGTGTCCTGATCTAGCTGACCATACAAGCATTACTTTCAGCAAAAGGAAGGCAAGAGCAGAAATAAGCAACTAAATGATTAGAGATTATAGAACAGTTTATTCCACAGCCAATTAATTTCAGTGTTATCCATGGAGAAACTTAAAATTACAATGGCCTGTTTGTGACATAACCCCAACAGTCCTAGCTCTAGAAACATCAGAGAGCTTATTTGAATTATTAGTTCTTAAAAACCTCTTCTGTCTTAACAATGTAATTCCTAAATAGATAATATCACAAATCACCACAGCAGCTAAGAAATGCAGATATCTAGTTGACAGAAACAAACCAAATTCCTTAAAATAAATTTCCTTAAGGTCATCCTGCATGTCCAGATAGACAGAATTCTCCATTTAGCAGCAATCAAGGGCCAGATAAAAATTTGGCCTTCTGAACAGCAATTTGAAAAAAGCCTCAAAAGGGAAGAAGAAAGTTAAGTTCATATAACTCTCTGTTCCTTGGGTGGGAAAGAAGTCATCAGATCCATGTGTTGTATTATACTCTTACAGCTGCTTCCCACTGTGATATGATGCTTCATGGAACAACGTGAAGTAGCTGAAATGTTGATCATACTTCTTACCTTGCTGACTTCTGTACAGTAAACTTGTAGCCTGTATATGACCAAAGAGGACTGCTAATACCCCAAACACATGCAAGACCATCATCCTCATCTAAAATATACTTGTCTATATTAGCATACCTAGAACATTTCATATTTCACAGCATTAAAAGACAGAGGAGGAATTATCTGTCAAGCTAATTATTTCTTATGCCATTCAAGATGAATGTCAAATATTATGGTTTAGTGGGACTTGGCAGTATTAGGTTTACAGCTGGACTTGATCTTAAAGGTCTTTCCAACCTAAATGTTTCTGTAATTCTTTCTATGATATTTTACCCATATGAGTGTTGTCTGTGTTTTCTTCCAGTTCCTTCTGTAAATCCTCTGCAGCTGGAATTTCAGCAAGAGCTGGAGCAGGTGCAATACAACAAATCTTAGGCTTTTCATTTTCTAGATACCTATTTTTAACACACAAATATAAGGTAAAAACATTCTTTAAGCATTCTCCACAACATCTAGCTCAGAATCACTAATCATAAATAACCTACTGTTTCTCCTGCTAAAATATATTCTTATTCTTTAATTCATGGGATTTTTAATCACAGAAAATTTAAGGGTCAAAACTTCTGCTAACCCATATTTCTTATAGCCCTAAGATACACCTGCATCATTTAAACTTCAGTGTGCTTGGAAAAACATTTCAAAGTATGAGTTATGAACCTGGAAGTTTCTACCTCCACATTTCTATTGGCAAGCAGAAAAGGGAGTTACAAAAAAAACCAAACCAAACAAACAAAAAAGCTGTAAAATGATCTTGAGCGCCGAAAAAATTGGAAAAAATTATATATATTGAGCAATAAAATTTTACCTTTGTCTTGTATCTGGTGTTTCATAAAATAAATTATCCAATGAAAAGACCATGTCTGCAGAGCTGAACATTTTTCGATCAAATGTGAAGTCTCTTAATCCGCAAAAGGCAGCACAGGGAACTGTGACACTGAAATTACCAGAACTGAACATGTATAAGCAATACATAGCTTATTAGTTATAAGTGCCAGCACTTAATTTCTAGATTTTTTTTTTCTTTTAGAGCTCTCGCCTGCATCCTTAATTCTTCTTCAAAAAGAGAATCCCTTTCATGATAAAATATGGTTCCTATTACTTATGACCAAAAAATCCTGTAGGACAGCACTTTAAACAACCTTTACATTACTATGACATGTCAGGAGGGAAAAGGTTGGTAAAAGTAAAGATCCAGATAAAATTTATGTTAAATTATTTAATTTCTAAGAATAATGCTAAGATTAATTAATTAATTAATGCTAATTAGGGGCAATGGGTGTAAGCTGGAACACAGGAGGTTCTGCTTAAACTTGAGAAAAAACTTCTTTACCGTGAGGGTGACAGAGCACTGGGACAGGCTGCCCAGGGAGGTTGTGGAGTCTCCTTCTCTGGAGACATTCAAGATCCGCCTGGACGCCTTCCTGTGTGATCTCATTTAGGTTCCTGCTTTGGCAGGGGGATTGGACTAGATGATCTTTTGAGGTCCCTTCCAATCCCTAATATTCTGTGATTCTTTTATATAAATGCAGACTATGAATTTTTTTTTCTCAGATTGTTTCTGTTCTGATGGGAAAACATGATCCATCTTATGATCAGTTTCTGTCAATTTTTACAAAATATTTTTTTTCTTAAAAAGCCTTCAATTATTTTAATTTGGAAGCAAATCAGATTTTTTTTTAACCTATTGCAAATTGCTTACCTGGATAACTGGAGTATGGGCCCACTCCTTAATGTTGTTAACAGGTGTGTTCTGAGACATGAGGACCAGAGATATTTCTAAATTAATTATCATACGTACAGTTAAAAATACTGCAGGTAATTTAAATGTTCTTCATTTAGCAACAACTCTAGGCATTAGACGTGTTTTCTTTATGTGTATGTGTTGAGAAGTTTCACAGCACTTAATTTTGCTTAAGGACAACTTTAAAAAGCAAAGATCTCACTAAAAGAATGCTACAGAAAGGATTTTATGAGTCAAAAATCTTAGATTCACTGAAACAAATGGTAAAATACCAAATCAACTTCAACAGTTTATAAAACTCAATAGAGGCCAAATTTGGTGATACAATAACAAAGCAAAGCAATCTTTTTTACCTACAGAAATAAACCAAAGGTGACACCTCTTTTGTACTCCATCATCTCAATAGTAACAAATGAAAAAAATTTTACAGAGTGCTTTGCAAACAGAATTGAGGTTTACATATATATAAATATAATTACTGTATACTGTCAGCTGTGAATTGAAAATTTTAAAAATATTTTTCTTCCACAGAAGGTGTAAAACTTCAAATATTCCAGAGAAATGTTTCAAATTTAAAACAGAAGACATTTCACAATACCAGCAGAATAATGAGCATGTAACCAAAACCATCTGTGAACACAGTGAAGATGAGTTTTAGAACTTCAAACAAGAAATCTGTCAATGCCCCTTTTACACTCCTTTTCAGAGAAAGTCTACAACACCACTTCTGCCAATTTCTGCCACTCCTTCACTGCCAGGTTTTGCCACTTTTTCCTTCACACTAATTAAATCTAGAATTTAGAAATCACACTAATAAATCTAACAAAGCTGGTTAATTTTGCCACCATGCTCCTGCATGCCTTTAATGTCAGTAATCTAAAGCAGGAGTTATCAGGCTTGGATACCAGTAGTGGCAGCAGAAAGCATCTGTCAGGAGTACTATCAAGTTGAAGCTATTCAAGTAGTAATTATCTGTGGTAAGTGCTTATCCAACTGAATAACCACCACTTCATCAGCTCCAAGGAGCTGGAAACACTGCAAACCAGTATGAAATGTTTTTTGTACCTCAGTTGGGGAATTCTCAATCTATGATTGTGTAACTTCCATTTAAATAATTTGGATTTGCGATTCCTACCATTGAGCAGTCTTTGTGACTCACAATATTTAATCTCCCAGGCCCTTCAGGCCCCCACTCTCTGTATGTCATTTATTCTTTGACTGGCCCCATTAATTCAAATTGCTTCATGACATACATAAAAATAATAGCAGATGTCATGGCACAACACTCCTTCATGCAGTTCTGCACTCATCCATCTGCTTGCTGGCCGTTAGCTGGGACACCCCCCTCAAAATCCCGAGACAAAGGGTGGAGGGAGAGAAAAAAAGGCAAGACTGATGTCTCCAAGATGGACAGGAATGAAAGGGCCTTTTCCATACTGGCATGCTGTTTGATAACACAGAAAAAATTCATATTCAAGACAGCAAAATGAGAGAAATGAGTAGGTGTTCACAAGGAGCAGCAGAGATCAGTGATTCACATTTACAAAGAGGTGTTTGCCAACCCCTTTAAGCCAAGAATTCTCATGCATCTGTGTTAAAAAACAGCCTACTACACTTAGTACCAACACTGCATGTCTCAAGGGTCTTTGCTCTGGTTGTAAACCCCTTTGCTTTTCACCTCCCTCCTAAAACCCAATCCTCTGTATTTCACCTCAGGGCTCTCTCCAGGGGGCCCAAAGTGAAGGTCACAACTTTCAAGGGCCAGACCCAAACTACAACTGCTCGCTCCCAGCTGTAAGCCAGGTCCTCAGACGGGACAGGGAGCATCCCCAGCTCCCAGCGCTCCTTCCTGCGGCCCTCAGGGGCTCCTCACAGTCAGGCTCCCGCTCCCGCCTCCTCCCTGGACTGAAGGAGGAGAACCGGACAGTCACTCCCCCCTCACCAACAGGGCCACCACCGCGCAAAATGGCGGCAGCGGCGGGGCCAAAGCGGGGCCACTATGTCCCGGCAGGTTAATCGCCCTCAGCCGGGCCGGCCGAGCGAGCAGGAAGCGGCGATTGCCCCCCGGTCCTTTCCTCGCACCGCCCCAGGGGATGGCCGCTCGCCAGAGTTTGCGGGAGCCGGCCGACCTCGGCTTACTGTCGCCGCGGCAGAGTCTGCGGGCTCCCGCTGACAGGAAATGGCGGGCGCCGGGCCCGCTGCGCCACGGCCGCAGGTGCTCTGAGCCGCGGCCCGGCCGTAGCACCTCAGGAACCAGCTACGCTCACAAATCCTGACACCAACGGGAAAGGAAGGGGCTAAATTCGCCTTAAACGGTAAAAAAGGAACGTAGAGGGACTACACTGATACCAAATTTAGAGCCTGTCCTAACGTGGATTTATCGAGAATTACTCTGTTGGAAAGTCCTTACTCACTTTTACCCTGGTATGAATTAGAAAAGGCGGCTGATTCCTGCACCAAATGAATCTGTTATCAAAAGGATTCCTACAGGAAAAAAATAAATATACTGAAAACATTGATCCTTTAAATATTTGCTAGTGGATTTCTGAAAATATATTTTTTTTCTTGCTGCCGCAGCTGAACTAGACCAACAGAGCTGCCTCAAACAAGTCACGTGTATCGAAACAGTGTCAAAGTATTTGTAAGGTGCAGAAGTAGGTTGCTATTATTTTCCACAGAAATACTGCAACTTAGAATTCTGGACTTGCCATTAGAGCACAGCTTTTGAACTAGTACATTTAAAATAAATTGCAGAACTGTCTCAGAAAGAGTAAATTTTAAGCTGGTTCAAAGCTTTGTGCCATTCAATAAATACTATAGAGGCAGCTACTGTAAACACGTATTTCCTCATACATAAATAGATGAAAAGGAGACTGAAGATTTTCTCAAATATTGACTGATTTTAACATAAATAATTTTTATTTAATCAACTTTTTTGTTTTTCTTTCTTGAAAATATTGATTAATTTTTAACTTTCCATTTCAAATTCTCAGACATTGTGTGTTTACATAATGAAGTGTATTCTCTCAGACTGTGCAAGCCCAGGTCAATTAAAAGCATGCAGTAAAGGTCATGGTCATTTTTACAATTCTGTGTATATGAGGTCTTTGCTTTGTTATACTTACCTTGAAAAGACTCACATCAGAAGTGTGTCATATTACAGTATTCCAAAATTTACACCACATGTTTAGATGCTTTAATCCACCTCCCCATCTAATTACTGGGCAGACAGCCAAGGGTAAGAAGCACTTCATTCTTACTTCCAACATGACAGAATCTTGGCCAGCACAGAATAACAAAAGATTTTATGATAAAGAGCTTCATATACAATCAGGATTGCTAATGAACCCATTGTCTGAAATTAAATTCTGAAGCCACCAATATTATTCAGATAATTTGAATAAAAATGGGGAAATGTTTGTGCTTGTAAGTATACAATAAGCATTCATTTTTTGCTTATAATAAATTCTGAAACCAGAAAGCATTTTTACTTCTTACTATTAGAGAATGCCTTCTTCGATTCTGGCCTCAGGCAAGTTTCCATCTTAGTTCACAACATCTGCTTTTAGCTGACCAGACTTTAAAGTTTAAAGCGATAATACAAACAGTTCATTTTTTAAAGCTATTTTTTCTTCGATTCCCTTCCCTAGGTGACATCTCCCTCAACACACACACAAATCACATAAAATATATAGCAAAGCAGTCTCTCAACTGCTCTGAGACAGTTTAATTTTTTATTTTCCCCAAGTCTAACATCTGATCTGCCATATGTTTTGAGTCTTTCCAGCTCATGGAGATCACATACTAAGTCATAAACCTACATGTTCTGGAGCAACACAACTAGAAAATCACGAACACCAGACATTGGCCAGTCATCCATATTATAACAGAATAATACTCATACTTACTAAATACAAAGCTGATAGAAGATTAAGTTTTTGCCAGAACTTGAACAATTGAACAAATCGGCTACAAACAAATTAAATGCAGAAAAGTATCAAGATGTAAGTAGGCTGGCAATCATTGGTATCTTCTCTCAGTTTCCTTTGTCTGGCTTTATCCACAATTTCAGAGATGTGACAAAACCATTGGTCTCCAGAAAGCGCCCTACCTCATAACAGAAACAGCTATGAAG